CCCAGAATTCCCCAGCCAGCATTCGCTGGCTGGGGAATTCTGGGAGTTGAAGTCCGGACATCTTCAAGTTGCCAAGGTTGGGAAACACTGTCCTATACTGTAGTTTAGAATGTTTGTTAAATACTGAAGAACTATGACAAAAAAACTGCAAAGAGTTTGGCTTTCAGGTAACTAAATGATGTATTTATAAATAGCTTCCTTGAACCAAAGTTGTGTTCCAAGTCATCTTGGCCAGCCCCTGTCCCAAAACAAGATCAAATATGCCACAAATCTTATTCTAAAGTCGATATAGCATTCAAAGCTGAAAACAAATGAGCAGAATCTACATATATACAGAAACACACGCTCCCTAACTTTGCAAGCCTGGGTGGAACCCCCAAAAGCCACTGAAGAAACCTGAATTACCTCGATGATGCTCAAAGGTGCAGGATAAAGTCCTTTGGTTTGCTTCTGCACTTTTTTTTCTACTGTTTTGTATACTTGCTGCCTTACAAATGGAATTGTGAAGGCAAAATCCGTCACTTCTGTAAGACAAAGCAGTTCAATGACAAACTACTCTGGGCTAATTTGGCCTGAGGGCCGAAGGAACCCCAAGATTTCCAGAAGAGCAAAGCCAGGCCACCTTTTCCAAGAATCAAAACAAAACTACTTTAGCTGGTAGTGTTGTGCCCACTCACTCTGAATCAGCCCTTTGTCAACCTTTCGGGTAATTGTTTTGTTGGCTAGTCCTTGGGCAAATGTAATGGCCACCTCTTCTAGATATTCCATGGTCCGTTCCTCAGGGCTCTTGATACCTGGACCTGCAAGTGCAACAAAATTAATAGCTTGCCGATCTTGATAACAGAAAAGACAAGCTCCAGTATCACAAAAATCCTGTTAACAAAATAACAGAGTTGGAAGAGACCTTGGAGTTCTTCTAGTCCAACCCCCTGCTTAGGCAGGAAACCCTAGACCACTTCAGACAAATGGTTATCCATCTCTTCTTAAAAACTTCCAGCATTGGAGCATCCACAATTGTTGAAGCTACCACTCTTACGCCTCCTCCAAAATCCATATGTTGCTCCACTAATTTCTATTACATTGTAAGCCCATAGGCAGGGATGAATTATTACTGATGGAATGATTGGCTTTTGATTGGGAGCTTCCCAGAGTGGGTTAGAAGATGGGAATCTATATAAATGTTAAATAAACAAAATAATTATTTCAAGCAAAGGTGGCCCACTCTTCCTTCATTTTCCCCTTGGCTCAATAAGCTTCCTTGTTCCCACATTGTAGAACATCCTACAAATTTACAACTTGCCTCCATTCTTTAAATCCCAGTCCTAGAGCTGTATTCCCTCCCTTCATTCCAACAATATTATCTTCTCATAATATTCTCTTCTCCAAGGTGAATTTGAGGCAAAAAGTTTGGTTGGAAAGATCACAATCTAACCTAGTGGATCCACCAGCTGGTCTACTAGTCCCATTTTTTTTGCTTTGTCAGCACGAATATTTCTTCCAGTCAACATCATGTCAAAGGCGGCAGGAATTCCTACCTGAAATACAGAATTAGGGAATTTATATATCCAAAAGGGGGGAAGAGGAAAGAAAACCGGGTGTTTATCGAAGAGATAATCTCACCATCTTTGGCAATCTCTGTGTGCCTCCTGCCCCTGGAAGCAACCCCAGCAACATCTCAGGAGTCCCCAGGACTGTCTTTTTATCCTTAGTGGCTATTCTATATTGGCAAGCGATGGCAACCTGAAAAATCAGAAAGTACAATTACAACACATTTTCCACTAAACACATTCCAGGGTCCAGCAATTGTTTTGTATGAACTTTATTCTCTATTATCTATTTTCCTCACAATAACAACTCTGTGAGGTGGGTTGGGCCGAGAGAGTGATTAGCCCCAAATCACCCAAATAGTTTTTCATGTCTAAGATAGAACTAGAACTCAGAGCTACCTGGTTTTTAGCTTAATGCCTTAACCACTAGACCAACCTACTCAGTGGTGGGTTCCGGATTCCGTACTGGTTGGAACGGCCCCAGCATCACCCACGTGGATGCACGCAGCGCATGCATGCGTCATACTTGCCTGTGATGCTTCCGCAAGACTCCGCGACGCTCCAGCTGCTTGGCGGAGCGTTGAGCAGGTGCCCTACACACCATGAGCATGCACGGAAGCGCCAAAAGCTTAAAGCACAGGTAAGGAGCATGGGTGGGCTCTCCGGAGCACCATACCGGAACGGTAAAAGGCAAGATCCGGTACGTCTGTACTGGGGTGTACCGCCTGCAACCCACCAATGAACCTACTTCTCTTTATGCTGGAATCCCCATTTTCTGAAACAATCCTACATTAATAACTCTTCCTGAAGTTGCTCCATAGATTTTTCTAATTAAATGTTTGGCAGAATTAGTGAGCTGGAATTTTTATTGATTTGTTTTTATTGTATCTAGGTCCTTTTTGACTTCTCTTATGGAAGCCTTTCTTCATACCTCTAGCCCTCCACCAAGGCAGGAACCACTGATTGCAGCGACAATGGGTTTGGGTGACTTTTCAAGGCTGTGCAGCATCTTCTGTCCTTCCTGAGATAGTTCAGTTATTTCTTGGCTGGACCCACAAACCTCAATCATGCTACAATGTGAAAGCAGTGGAGAAAGTCAGTTGAATGGTCGTTCATGAAGATAATATTTATTTCATATCTATGAAAAAGCAATTCAAAGTTTTTTTTTCAAGTGACCCAGAGTCGCCTTATGTTTTTTTTGTGAATACTGCTTTAAGTTAATGTGAGTTAAAATCTTTCTCGACTTCATCTAATAGTCTAATAAGATTCATTTCATTCTTGCTGAGTACTTGGTGAAAAAAATGTTTCCCTAATAAGCAAGAAAACAGTTGCCTACTACCTTGATTTTCTTCTGGAAAGTGTCAATTCAGCTACCATCAAATTACTGATTTGGTAATTTCACGTTTCCTATATTGGAAACTTTACTTCTCAATTCCCAAAATGGATTGGATTGGTACATTTGGGGGGGGGGGATTCCTCCAGAAAGTACACCCCTGAATTTCTGAGTTTTATACACTTTTACTAAAGGATGGAAATTTTGTTTTGCAATAAAACACATGTTAATGCCTTCATGTTCTTTCACTGAACTTAAAAGTCACCAATCATCTACAACCGGGAAGGAGCCATCCTTATGATCTGCTACCTGTGTTATTCCAATTTGTTTCCAGTAGGGGGCAGAGGATTTTAAGCACATTACCTGCTTTGTTGTCCTCTGATGTTTGTAGATAAATTGCAAAGCAAACTGATTTCTATTTTGCTGTAAAGCATGCTCAAGGAAGAAGCAGTAAATCTTTTTGCTGTAATCTCTCAGGCAAAATATGTAAAAGTACATACATTAAGAGTGTTAAAATAACCCAATAGGGGTGACCATTTACTCATCATTTTTTTTAAACTAAAGAAATATGTCCAGTTATCTAGCAGGGATTCCCTTCCACAGAACTTACTTGATGTCTGCCCCTGCAATAAAACAGCCAGGCTTTCCTGAGATAAGGACCGCACTACTGACAGCATCGTTGCTCCATATTTCTTTCATTACATCTACGAATTCAGCTTGCATTTCCTTGGACAATGTGTTTACCTGTAACAAGAAATAGGTACCGTAAGTTAAAACCAAAGTTCAGTATTAGATGGAGACATCCTTTGCCTTTCTTCCCACCTGAAAATGGCACTCTCCCCAAAAGAGCCAATGCTCACAGAGGCTATGATATTTAAGAATTAAGCACAATTAAACAAACACAAATGTAAAAAGTAATGATTAGCATACATTTAAAATGCATGGACAAAATCCTGAAGAACTGAACTCCATTATCTATGATATGATTTTGTTATGGTATGATTTTGTCATAGCTAATATGGAGCGCTTGCAATGGTTGACTGCAATAAGAAAAGCTGCAACAAATTAAGATCAGAGGGTTGAAGCAGTAAACAACAACAAAAAAAGAAGACGACGACACTTTCTCAATCCTGTAAGATAAATTGATGAGAACTTGGTAAGTTGGTCAATTTTGGATAGAGGTGTTTTCTGCTTTGAAAAGTACAAAATGCCTGGCAGCATGCCTGGGAGGAATACAAGGCCACTTCATGTTCTTATTATAATTGAGAAGTTATATATTCTCTTCCCCAATTTGGCTTGAGTGTTTTTGTGAAATGATGCTGCTTCCATTGAATCATTGTGAATGATGCTAGAGGATCATTCTGTGATAATCTTCTAGTTTATGAAAATCATTTTTATGTTTCCATCCGTTATAAGAAGCAATGGATGGAAACATCAAGAAGAGATCCAACCTAGAACTAAGGATAAACTTTCTGTCAATGGGAACAATTAATCAGTGGAATGGCTTTGCCTCCAGAGGTTATGGGCGCTCCATCACTAGAGGTTTTTAAGAAGAGATTGGACAGCCATTTCTCTAAAATGGTATAGGATTTCCTGCTTGAGTAGGGGGTTGGACTAGAAGATCTCCAAGGTCCCTTCCAACTCAGTTAATCTGTTATTACTTGAGCGTACCCACTCTGTCCAAAGGCACTGGATGGGCAGAAACAGTTGGAGATAGGTGGTTCCTCCAGTAACCAGGCCCTGTGCCATGTTGAGGTTGATAGATAACAACCAGCATGTTGAACTACACTCAGAAGCCAGTTGACATCCAATGCAACTCAGGCAGCACAAATGATACTTGAGATTAACAAATGCCCATTTATTTCTTGTGCCATTGGAGCTGAACCAGCAGTAGCTTCTGAATGAACAGATTACAAAAAGATCACTTAGATCAGATATACCGAGTTCACCTTGCCACCCACAAAAATGTAGTCCTGCTATGGAGGCCAGTAACTGATGCTGAAACTAGACTCTATGCAGTACAGACCTGGGTTGAAACCACACCTAAGCCTTACAACTAATCTTTATTTTATAATGGTTCTTATTGTCATTACTATATTAGAGCCTGCCAACTTATTTTTTTTTCCATTTTGGAAAAGTTCCTACTCCTTGTTTAGCTCTCCAAGACTCCAACCTCCACTTTCAAGTTTTCTGTACAAGATCTTCCTTCATCATCCTTTCTTCATTGTATTCTAAATATCTGTATTATTATTATAGATAACGTTCACCAAGTGAAAAGCAATTGGAAACCTTACCTTGGAATTAGGGGAGTTAAAACGAACGACAGCAACATCTTCTTTGATGTCATAATTAACATGGGTTCTAGCTAAGATAGAAAAGAGGTAAGTAATGCATGTATTATTCTACACCCTAGAATTCAACAGAGGAGGAAAAAACCAAGTTCAAAATTACCAAAATAATTACCATTATTTTTCAGAGTATAAGACACACCTTTTTCCCTCAAAAAAGAGGCTGAAAATCTGGGTACGTCTTATATACTGAATACAGCATTTTTGGCTCCTGAAACCCCGCCCCTTCACTAAAATGGCTGTGCATAGCCTGTAGGAAGCTTTTAGAGAGCTCCTGGGGGCTGGGGAGGACAGAAATGAGTGGAAAAAAGCCCGGTTTTTGCTCAATTTTACCACCACCCCGCCCAGTCCCCAGGAGCACTCTATAAGCTTCCTAAAGGCTATCCATGCCCCTTTTTTAAAACGAAAAATGGGCCCGTTTTCACAAAAAACGGGCCTCTTTTTGCTTGTTTTGCCCCCCCCCACCCACGGAGCACTCTGCAAGCCCCCTAAAGGCTACTCATGCCTTTCTTTGGGGGGGGGGAAGGGGCCTGTTTTCACACAAAATGGGCCGTTTTTGGGAGGTTTACCGAGTGCAAAAACTTTTTTTTCTATTTGTCTCTTCAAAACCTTGGTGCGTTTTATATTCCGAAAAATACAGTATACAATGCCATTAATAGTTAGCAAAAATAAGTAAATATTTCAGATCCTATGGGAAACAAAGATATCAGCTCTCATTGACAGGAGAGCAATTGTTCAACATAATGTGATGAACAAAAGGTCTTACTGAGATACCCTATGCTATGCAGATATTTCAAACCTCTTGGGCCTATATTAGTCATTCTCATCACTTTCACCTTTCCATAGGGTGAGGCAATATTCCTCCATTCCAGATGTGTAGCTATAATTCCCAACCTTTTCAATAGTTATCACACAACACACCTGGAAAGCAAAGCTAAGTGATTAGCCGATATGTGTCTTAATTACTGCTGCTGTTCCAAGTTTCATTCTTGTTTTGGCAAGTCCTTCCTATGCATAGCTGCTTATGAAAGAATCCAATCTTTGGCCTCCAGCATTTATAATGCAAAAAGAAACATGTTAGATTAAAAAAAAATTCTTTCTAATGTGAAATGAAAGTTCCCACACCCCCGCTTCTCCCAGTAGGCTACTGTTGTCTACATCTTTATTTACCCCACGTGTTTGCTTTTCAGTTTCCTTCTCATTATTTTGTTACACGTACAAAAAACTTCTGAACAGATTAAAACAATGTGCAAAAAATTGACCAAGAGTCACCTCTATGTAATTTCATTCCATCAGTCAAAATTCCAGCTTACACCCATCAATCCCCACCAAGGAAGTATTTACACTTACATTTAACGACAGGGGAAGTGCTGAGGTTTCGGCAAGCATAATCTGGAAGAGATTTCAGGAGTTACAGAGGGCCAAAAAAAATTATTTTAAATCCTCATGAGCAAATATTTAAACATCTGGGCATTCCAAAGAAGCATCACTTTTTTAAAAAAAATCATTGGGTGCCTCCTGAAAAATAGATACAAGTGCAGATAGTCCTTGACCTATGATGACAATTGGGACAGAAATCTCGCTGAGTGAAGATCTCACTGGGATGGCACATGACCACAAGCTACGTCTCCCAGTTGCAATTGTTAAGTATCTGCACGGGTTGTTAAACAGATCATCTTTCCCTGCTGCACTGTACCAAGAAGACCAGAAGCCTCTTCATGCTCTACAGGCTCTTTAGGCCCAGGCTATCTCCCAGTCCCTACTAGGCCCAGGAGGCCCAGACCTTCCCCTTACTCCACCATGCACAGGCCCACTTACCTTTATCTTTTTCTGCAAGCAGGCCCCATTCTCATGATCATTGGAAAGCTCTTTCTCAAAATGGTGCAATTTGGAAAAGGGACCTTCCAAATTATTATGAGAATGACTGCATTCGTTAGCTTCCCCGACTAGAAAGCTAGCAAACATGACCATTCCGAAGGCTAAAAGTATTTTAGGCCTCAGAATGATGGTGTTCACTAGCTTTCCTGTGTTCTTCCATGCACAGGAAACAGCACCTGTGCTTAGGCTCCAGAAACCCTGCTTGGATCTTCAGGGGCTGAGCTCTCCTGTGTATGTGGAAGAGAACACCTCTGCTGCGTTGCAGAAAGAGGGCTCAGATCTTCAGGATCCAAGCCCATTTCTGCAGTCATTGGAGGGATTGAGTTCTATTGGGCAAGCAACTCTTTCAGCCAACCTCCCAGAGATAAGAGGAAGTCCTCTTGGCAGATGGCAGCACTGGAAATCTTTCCTGCTGGCTTCCCTCATGGACTTTCTGGGAAAGCTGACAGAGAAGATTGCAAACGATGACATGATTGTGGGGTGCTTGGCAACAAGTCATAAGTGCAAACCGTTTGCAACAGTTCATGTATTTGATGGGGATCGCATGACATTATACGATGGCCGGAGGTGTTTTAAGGGCCACAAAGCTCCATTTTGGAAACTATTGTAACCTTGAACATGAACTGTTAAATGACCTGTTGTAAATCAAGGGCGACCTGCAGTCCTTCTTTGCCAACTGCCTTGGACTACAACCATTCACAGCTATGACAGTGATGAAAAAGTAACTTTGAGACTAATGCCCTTATTTACAATCTTTGCACTCCCGCCCTCTCTCTCCCCCTCCCTCCCCCACTCTCTCTTTCATTATTTGTAATGATATATGCGAATGATCTGGAGAGATGATGGGAAGAGACGCTGCCTAGGAAACAATCAAACAAGGGGAGGGGAGCCCATGGCTGCTTAATGGTCAGGTGGTCTCCCATTTTATGACTTTTTTTGCCACAGTTGTTAAATGAATCACTGTAGTTGTTCGGTTAGTAACATGGTTATAAAGGGAATCTGGTTTTCCCATTGACTTTGCTTGTCAGAAAGTCACAAAAGGCGATCACATGACTCCAGGACATTGCAACCATCACAAATATGAGCCAATTGCCCATCATCCGTATTCTGATCACACAACCACAAGGATGCAGCAATGGTCGTAAATGGGAAAGATGGTCATAAGTCACTTTTGTCAGTACTGTCGTAACTGCAAACCGTCACTAAACAAATGACTGTAAGTCGGGGACTCCCTGTACATTGTTACTATGACCTCAGACATCCTGAGTTTATGTGCTTTTGGCACCTGGGAGTGAAAAATTGGATCCTCTTTACTTATTATGGCCAATAACTGCTGAATGGGGATGATGGGAGTTGTAATCCATCCTAATTGGAGAAGAATATACATTATGTGTCTTCTCAGGTTAAATCAGTGTATCTTGTCTTAGATCAATGGCCTTTTAAGTGCTACCAAAAGAACTCCTGGTGCAGTTCTGAGCTCATCAGGGACTTAAACACTGAATGGTATTTTGCTCAATATAATTTTATAGAACAGAATTCTTTATTGGCCAAGTGTGATTGGACGCACAAGGAATTTGTCTTCGGTGCATTTAATTTAATATTATATTGAACAAATGCTGGGTGGCATGGCTTTTGGCTTTTTGTGTGACTTTAAACTGAAAACATGGACAAATCTTACATTCATAAAATCTGGTTAAATTAAAAAATAGCAATAAGAGTATGCAAAAACTGTCTGGAATGCAAAAAAAAACAGCACTTTTAACATTCTATCACCTATGACTGTTGAAGTATGGCTTTCAAAGCATATTAAATCTGAAACAAGTTAATAACAAGAGACTAATTACCTATTATACACTGAGCAAAAATGATATGAAAAAGTGTACTCAAAATGGGCAGGGAGGATGTGTAAGTCCTAAACAAAAACGCAACACTTAATTTAAAAAACCTACACGTTCATACTGAAACATGCTATGCTTTGTAAGTCAATCACATGATCTCAGCTCAAAACTGGCAGAGTGCCCTGCCTTCCTGCTTACTTTTGAATAGAAGCAAACAGAAAGGAAAGGACCTTTCACCTACATTCCATCTTGTCCAGAAATGCAGGCAATGAATTGCTGGGGTCATATGCTTGTCCCCACTACTATCTTCCTAACAAGTCTATCTGTGTTTGTCTTCTCTATCACAGTCAGCTCAGCAAGATAAGCATGCAATATTTACCCAAAAGGAAGATGTATTTAAAGAGAACTGCTCCCCACAAAATGGAACAGATAGAAAATGAACTAGGAACACAGATTAAAATTCAACATAATGCCCAGCTTTCCTACATTGTCCACTTAGTGTTGCCAGGTCCCACTGAAACCAAGCCAGGAAAACTCACCCCTACCACATATAAATGTATGCATTTGACACACTTGCGTGAGTGTATATATTTGTGTTTATATACACATATACATATACAAATTTTCCATTGTCAGTCTCACCATCTTTATTTTTACCACATATATTTTAATCTGTATCTTTTCTCCATAGATAAGAGTCAAGGGTCATTTTTTATTGTGGTAGCACAGAACATGGTTAAATAATAAATGTATTTACCAGAAACTGCATTCCCAGTTTGTTTTCAACAATTTCCACAATTTACAAAATATTATTTAGGGGGAAATCCTCAGTATACTGCAACCTAAATATGCTCATGTTGTAAAGTTGGGATTGATTTTTGTCCACAATTCCTGGGGCCAAAAGATTTCTCTCCTATCCAGTTTTTTGGGAGGATTTCACCAAATTAAATCTGTTTGCTACTTTACTTATTCTAAAATAGCAGAGTCCTGTAGTCTGACATCTTTTAAAACCAATGTTGAAAATTATATATGTCCAAGTATATAATACTATAGCATTAAGAAAGTATGTACATTGTACAATAACCTTTTATCACTTTAAAAGTAGCCTTTGAACTTATATGGACATGGAAGAACATTGGCAGCAATTGCTTTCCTAAACTATAGTTTTGTAATCTACTATATCAGATGAAAACTGATAACTATCTTGTAGATGATGATATTTCAGCCATGAAATCTAATGTGATGACATAGCATTAGATATCTTTAGGTAACAAGTCTTTCTTTTTTCTTTCCATACCTTTCCTTGTTTAGAATATAATCCTAATCATTATACCACATGTTTTTTCCATGGCTATTTAAAGGAAATTCAGTAAAGTAATTATTTTAAATTGTATGCTTCGGAGTAACAAAATGTACAAGATTGGTTTTTCAGAGGTAGTTTCTCTCTGAGGAAAATACAAGAATTTACCTACTGACAACAACTTGTAATGTACCTCCACACTTGAATCACAATCAAAGATAACAAATAAATAAACAACTTTTAACAGCAAAAAATCCAATACAAATTTTAAAGTCAAATCAGATCAGGCAAATTTATTATGAATTAAAAACCAATTAAATTGAGTAACAATAGAATATAACGTACAACTGATTGTACCAGAACAACAGAATCTTGCCTATTTATTGAAAAAAAGCATATTTAAATGCTCTTATGATGTGGTGCCTGGAGAAAGGAACATCTAAAAAGTTCTTTCCTTAGGCCTGTTTTCAGATCTTCAATATTATATTAAGATTTGTTTTATTTACCAAACTCTTAACTAACAAAGCCAGTGATGGCAAGCTATTATAAACTGCTGCATTAGCAGAGAAGTGGACAACTTTTTGCTTACTTGAGACCTCACGTGATTTTCTGAGAAGACTGAAGGGATGAAGAGAGAGGACTGGAGACATAAATTTGGTGCAAGCCACAATTTTCTGGCAATAATTAAACAGCTGCATTAAAATTCTACCTATCAGTTTCTAAGGTAGCAGAAAATCATTTCCTTCAAACTGCTGAGTCCTATGCTGCCCGAGCCCTAAGAAGGCTGACTAATAGTTGCTGCCTTTTTTAAATGAAGGGTAGTTTAGAAACATGAAGTGTTCCCCCATCTGTATTTCCCATCCCACCAAGCTTGATATCAACAATTAACTGTTCTCCCTAACAGGAGTTGGGTTGGATGAAGGTGACACATGGAACAGCTTGTTTAACTATCTATCAAGCTGTCCAACTAATATGTCACAGGAGTAAAATACCACATGCTCGTGACTTCTTAATAAGGCTACTTATGAACACAGATCTAGTACCCCTCTGAAAAAAACCCTAAACCCCCGTGTAAAAATAGCTTGGTTGATGGGTTGCAGGCCTAAAAGAGGGATGGAGGACAAAATGTGAAGAAGCAATCAATAAAAAGTGAGCTCCGTTGTTGATTACTGCTGCAATAGAACAGCAGTGTGAACAATAAATCCGATTCTGGAATGGGGATAACAGCACCTAGAAATAGCTCATGGATGATCATGGAGATTGAATGGAATAGCATCAACGCCACCTGGCACACCCTAGCTCCATATTTGTTACCTAATTTTTCAAAGTCAATCATAATGCAATTCTTCTCGATTATCTATAGGAGCCAATCAAAAGTCAAGCATAGGAGTTGGGTTTTTTTTTACATCTTTGTCTTAACTATTGTATTTTTGTTCACCAAAATGATTTTTATTACAAAGTCAGACTGCAACAAATTCGAAAATACGACCATTAGATTCTTTGAAATTTGGGAACCAGATTGTCATCCTGACAATCCTTTTCTAAAATCTTTAAAAACATAAAATAATTTATGCCCTTTTCTTATTCTAGTTAATTTTCATTAATTACAAACTGTTAAATAAAGAACCTGCATGAACTACAGGTAGTTCTCAGGATATCAACATTTGTTCAACCTATAACACTGAATGAATGGGACTTACAATTGATCCTCAATGTTCCAGCCATCACACAGTCACATGATCATGATTTAGACATTTGGCAATTAGTGGCCTGCCTGCCTCACCATTCTTCCTGCCTGAGACTGACACCTCTTCCCACAACAACCATATTAGTGGGATTACAGTGACAACCAGGACTACTGTTGATGTAGATTCAGTCATGTGACACTGTGCTTTATGATCGCATTGCTTAGTGATGGAAATTCTGGTTCAACTGCCATCATAACACTATTACTATTTGTGCAATGGGACTCATGGTTTACAACACTTCAGAAAGAAACCCAAATGTATAGGTGTGCATTAACCATTTAAGTGATTCATCATTTCCCCATCCTGAATTGCACATATTCTCCACTATCACAGAGATTAAAATGCTAGACTTGGAACAGGGAGACCTAGATTCAGATTCACCCTCACTTATGGAAGTAAATTTATCTACTCTATTGTTTAAGCTTTCACTGTTCTGTACTGGACAACTTCCATTTAGATTGTTAGTCATACCGGAGCTTATGTGAAACCTGGGTGGGGCAAGGATTGTGTGCACACGGGCTAGAAGGGAGGCAAGCAAACCATAAACTGAGGCGGGGAATTTGGAGAGAGACAAGACATGTTGGTCCCCCCTCCCCCCTGCAACACCTCACCTGCAACTCTTCTTTATTGGAACACACCTCTCTTTTTGCAAGTGCATCAGCCCAGGAAGCTCCATCTCAGAGTGGGTGCAGGAGATCTGAGGCTGGACTGGCCCGGACAGCACCAACAAAAGGAAACACCCACAAAGTGGGGGGGGGGGGGAAGAACAGGGTAGTAGGAAAAGGGTGTGGTGTGTGTGTGTGTGTGTGTGTGTGTGTATTTAGCATCAGGGTGTCAAAAGTTCAGGAAGTTGAGGAGTCCAACTATTTAGGGGAGGCTGCAAGGTGTCAATCCCTCTCTAGTTCTGTAGAAGGATCCTTGGGAAAGGAGATGGAAAGAAGAAGGGGGGTTAGGTAAAGGAGAAGCTGGATTTGCAGGGCTGGTGGTGCAGCAGGAGATGGCTAGGCTGACGGGTCCAACTCAGTGAGCCAGTGTCATCTGTGTCCCTGAGCTGCATTCTCCAAATATGACAGCTTGATATATAATCCCCAAATAGTAAGCCACTTTAAAACTAGCCCAAAATAGCTTCAAAAATGCAACCCACAAATGCCACAATTTTCCTGCAACTGATCTCCAAAATCAAGCCCAAATGGGCAGGGAAAAAGCCCAACTGGCAACAACTGCTGTGCATCTGGGGAAGCAGGAACCACCCATAAAGGGGAGGGGGGAGGAAAACCTGTGGTGATGCTGGAGGATTGCGTATCAGGTGCCAAGAATTCAGGAGAGGTCAAGAAGAGTCTAAATATTAAGGGGAGGGGGTGTTTGATGTTGCAAGGCCTCAACCCCCCTCTAGTTTTGCAAAAGGGTCCTTGGGAGAGGAGGTGGAAACAGAGGAGCAGCAAGAAAGGAGAAACTGGATTTAGAGAACGAAGTGCATGAAACGACTCTAATAATTTCGTAAGTTCTGCTTATATTTGAGCCTAAATATGCAAGGGGTTCCCCGAGGCCTGAAAAATATTTCAAGGACGCCTCCAGGCTCAAAGGGCTGATCTAGAAGATCGCGATCAAAGGCACGCTGGAGTGAAGTAGTCTAAATAATCTCTTTGACCACTTCCCATTAAATGGAGAGAAACAAGCATAAAGGAAGAGCATAATCTGGTGCCAGTTTAGACCATGAGTAAACCTAGAAACGCCCCCTTCCTCCCTTCCCCTACAAAATGAAATGTCTGTGCTCTTCCTCCTATTCCCACCTCAATTAACCGAGAGCCTGAAAGTTTCCCTTCCAGCCTTTCTCACCTAAGAGGTTGCTCCGGCTCGAGCAATACTTGGCAGCGGCCGTGAAGCGCGTCAAGCTCCCGATAGCCCTGACAGCAGCCGCCATCTTAGCCCAGCGGGGAGGTCGGTCAAGCAAGCGAAGATTGAAAGAAGCGAAGGAAGTCGACAGGGGCGTGGAAAAGCCGATGGGGGCTTTCCCTTCCCCTCCGTCGCCCTCCTTTACTTAAAGTGAGCCGTCCCCTGATTTGCCTGTTCACAAATGTGACGCGGCAGATGTCCCCACGGTTCTTCCGAAGGGCACGTTTCTCTCACATTCTCTGTTTTGTAAGGCACTTCTTCAATATTTGTTTTGTGGAAAGAAAAACGTTGAATCCGGGGAGTTGGGGGGGGGGTATTAGGCGGCTACGGCAAACGCCGGTTAATGTCGGCAAGGGAGGGCCTTCACGTGTACTGGCGCCCTTGGGCGGGTAAGGGGGCGGGGCTGATTGTTTCCAGCCTGTGGTGGAGGGCTGTTGCCGGCGGTGAGCTAATCTGCCTTGCTTTTCGCGGTCCCCCAAGGTGGGCGATTCTAATTCCCAAGCGGGCTGAAGGGCGGGCGAGTGAGGGGGATTAGGCGGTGGGAGGATTTGCTTTCCTGCGTGTGTTCTCTGTGGAGGGAAGAGACGCGATAGGAGCAGTGGACGGTGACATTAAGGATGATGCATTGATATGCCCAGTTACCGATCTATCTTAGTTTTTCTTAATATAGCTGCCTTATATTACACATCCTGCTTTTTGCATGTAATGGGATTAATAAGAGAAAGTTGAGGCAGGGTAATCCGCATGAGCAAAAGTAGCTTGTATATGACCTCAAAGTACATACGATGCAGTTTCTTAAGGAAGAAATGCCCCAATATTGTGCAAGCATAATAGCAATATGGAATGCTTAAGATATGTATTTAGATAATTAAATTGCCCATTGTACTTAGGAAACACTGTTATAATATTTACATTTTTCTAAAGCAGGCAAATATTAAATTTTACTACAAAGGAGGTTTATTCTCTCTTAAATTTGAAGTCTTCATATTGTTTAATGTTTGATATATCAAATATCTCTCTCTCTTTTTTGCTTATTGTTTATCATTTTCCTTTATTTTTCCTTTTGTTTATAGTTTGTTTTATACTTTTGTTTGTTATACTTTTTTGTACTGATTTTGTATTTTTGTTTTTGACTAGCACATATGTGCAAGGGGAACCTTTACCTTTATATTATTAAACTGTAATAACAATAAAGATAATTAAAATATCATATATAATATGGCATTTTGATTTTCCATATCATAATTGCAGTTCATAGCAGAAAAGAGATTCAGTGGTTGACTTTTGATATTATGTGATTGATCCTGTATATATCATGCATTCTTCCAGATACAAAGTATTTGTACATAATAGTTCTTCAAAACTTTTTTTCCAATTTCATATCATGCAGCAGGTTGAATCAGTTGTTCTTATATCTCTAAGTGGAAAGCCACACAATGAAATTACATAATAGCTGAATGTGAATTTAAACCTGATTCCTATTCCAGTTCAGCATCTAAATTGCCACATTATGCTGATTCTCCTTTTTGGAGCTCATCTCCAAAACCATAATATTACAGTAATATTTAATAAAATGAGCTGGACATATATAAACTGGGAAATGTAAGAGACGATAGATGATAAGATAGTACAAAGCATTTGAAAGAATGTCTTTTCAAAGTCTAGCAAAAACTTTATGGAAGCATTAAAGCAAGAATTATACTTACTTGGTTGCAAATTTGGTTAACCAAAGTTAACAAAATTCCAGAATAAAATAAGTAATTTCATCTACTTTGTATTATCTGTTATTAATAAAATAAAATTTTGGTTTCTGCTTATGTCTTGCTGCTTGAAAACGTCCCAGTGGTTTTTTTTTTAATTAGACGGGGAACCATGACCTTAGCTACTTTGAATAAACCTATGAACTGGGCCCTATGCCCACAATAGTTACTGTTAACAAGCTAACTAGGATCACCAACATGATCACCAACGTTCAGTGACGGATATGACAGAACAATAAGAAGAAGAACAAGCTAACTAAGCAATCTCTTCTTCCGGTTTCAGGCTTCAAAATGGCATCCTTGTTGACTTGTGGCATGAAAATTCTTCCTACCATCCTTCCACGGGCAACCAAATCCTGTAAGTTGTTTTTCCTTTAGATAATCAAAATACCCAATGTATGATTAGTTACTGGATTTGTATGCTGGCATGTTACATAAAGATTCATTTTAGTTAAAGTAGTTCATTGTCTTTTTGTGAGTTTCATTGCCCTATTTCTGATGCAGCTACTATCATATTAAGATACCATAATCCTATCATATTATTCATTTTTTGCTTTTGTGTTCTCAATGTCACAGTACATTCTCTCTGATCCTCTTGGCTCATTATTAGTTAGAAGGTTATGAAAAAATTGGCTTCGTTTTTATGTCTGAATAACATTATTTTACCTATGTTGTTATATCTTGATTTTCTTAACATTTCAGCTTTGAGAACTTTCAGCTGTTCATCCCAGTTATTCGCAACAGGTACAGAAAAAATATGAATAATCTGACTGCACATCTCTATTGTACTTGCACTCCTATGCTGTCTCATAAATTAGGATATAAAATATCTGAGGTTACATAAATTAAATCCAAAACTTGTTGTGAAAGTATTGTAATCTATCATATTCTGCTAGTATGACTATTACTATGTGCCTGTGTGTATTACACACACAAATATATTTTTAAAAGTGTTGAAGTTCTGTGGTTCAAGTTTTGATGTTTATTCATACTTCATTGAAAACTACAGAAGGAAAAATCAAACAATAAATATCTTAACATTATTAAATAGAAGAAATAAATTGTGAGCTTTGGATGTTTTTAGACAAACCTCATAAACTCTATTGATCTTATCCTGGTGTAAAAATTATTTTAATCCATTTTCTAAATAATAGCAACAAATAAAGAAATGTTTTGGTTTTCAAAGATTTTGTGATAATTCTTGTTCTAGTTCTACTAGTTTTTCTAGTAATAATTTATTATTATTATTGTTGTTGTTGTTATTGTTATTACTGCAGTTCAGCCCAAAAGTAAGAAAACCTTAGGTAAAAGTGGGATGAAGAATATTGTAGTGGTGGATGGTGTTCGCATTCCATTTTTGCAGGCTGGGACCTCGTGAGTATTAAATCTTACTTTTATAAAAATAATTTATAAAACCTCTTGGGCACCTTTGGGAAGAAGAGATATAAATAATGTTAACAGAGAAACAGCCAAATTTAAAGATAGTGTAATTTCTTTTTCAGCTTAAAGTGCAGTTAGTAAAACAAAAGTATATTTTTCAGGAATTAATGAGGAGGTATTTTTTTATTTCTCTTCTAATCTTCAGGTATGCGGATTTAATGCCACATGACTTGGCCAGGGGAGCACTGACGTAAGTAGTAAATAAATAGAAGTGGGGCAGTTTGGTTGTGATTTAGTTCATAGGGAGTTGTTTAGGGATGTTGTTCTGCTTTGTTTTTTGTGCCGAAGTGTCTTTTCTTCTTTCTTGTTTCATCAAACTACTATTCTTTTGCAATCAGTAGAATGCTGCCATTCTGACATCCAATAAATATAGATGAGAATAATTCACCTTGTTGTCTTCCTAATGTACTTTGAATTATTTCATCTTTATTTATATCCCACCTTTATTGTTTTTATAAATAAGTCAAGGTAGCGAGCATGTCTAACAGTACTTCCTCTTTTCCTCACAACAACCCTGTGAAGTGGGTTGGGCTGAGTGACTGACTGGTCTAAAGTTATCCAGCTGCTTTTGTGCTTAAGGTGGGACTAGAATTCCCAGACTCCAGGTAGTCTGTTATCTTATATGGAGCGTTTGCTGAAAGAAGAAAAATAACATGAAGGGCTAAAGGGATTTGTTTGCAAAAGGGGAAGAAGATTATATGGGAAAGAAGATGATACGATTATAATTATCTGTTAAAGATAAGTTCGGAGGTCACTACATTGTATAACTTTTGGGGTTTTTTCTTACCTTGCACCTTTTTTTTCTTTTCTATGTTTTTCTTTAGATTTGTCTTTATCTTAAGTAAAACACTTGCATGTGAATTTAAAGAAGAATTTGAGATATAAATGTCCTAAATGTTATTGTGTCCTGTCCTGTAAGCTTTGGGGCTTTGGAATACTTTGGATTCAATTGGGAAGAAGTACTTTTCCCAAGAGCAGGAATACAGCTTCTCTCTGGATTCATTAAAGTTGAATGAACTGAAACTGCCACAAAGTCCTTAGAATAGAGGTAGCTTCTCCAATGAATTGCAGGAATTTACTGCATCCACCTTTTCTTGCATTCTGAACCATTTTCCCCCCAATCAGATCCAAAGCATTGCCCTAGAAATCACCTTGTGACTTAGCTTATAGAATGAAAAGGACTGTGTTCCCAGTAATAAAACATAGGATTTATAGTTGTAATGCCATGTAGAATCATGTTTTAATTCAAGGACTACGTTTATACTTTGATTAACTACAAAGCAAGGTGGACTATGGGCTACACTGGCTGTAGCAAAGTATGACTCTATCTATTTCCAAGATAACCTCTTGGCTCACTCTGGGAAGCATTTAATGAGGGAAGAGTATTTTGAAATCTGCCTGTTCTTTGATAATTTCCAGAAGTAAGAAGTACCCAAGATAATTTAATCACTTACACACAAAAGAGCAACAACAAGAATCCTGTCACGATTTCTGTTGACTATCTAAATTCAGCAGATTAGTTCCATTAGCATATAACAAAATTTGGGTCAGGAGTTTTAGAAATATTTGGAGAGCCAATTTGCTATCTGATTCTCAGAGACTGCCTGGCTATGTCCCTGCAATTTTCTTGGTAAGGTTTTTCAGAAGTAGTTTACCATTGCCTTCTTCCTAGGGGGTGAAGGAGTGACTGGCCCAAGATCATCCAACTGGCTTCATGTGTAGTCTCTTGGTTTCTAACCTGCCTTAATCACAACATCAGAGTGACTCTCATACTATAGATAGACGTGATTAAAATGTCTGCTTACACTAATGGACAGAATTTTGCCAAACTATAACCTTCTTTTCTTCAGACTGAATAAACAAATTCCTTCATTCTGTCCTCTTAAGGCATGTATTC